CCAAAAACCCATAACACTGCTTAGAACAATCACCATATATTAGCTTCTCTCTGTCTCCTTGGTTTTGCCCTTAGCTCGCATTCTTTCATTTTCTTTCTTCTTGATCCTTACATCTCGCTGTGTTCTTTGCCTCCAGTCTCTGGACCTTTTGTCTCATTGCTGAAGGCGGCTCCTCCACAGCAAGGGGCAAGGTGAGGAGAAGCCACTTGCCTCCAAAGATTTTATTTCGGGGGTGGGGGGGCCTTCTCCCAGCCGCTCACCCGGATAGCGTGGAGTCTGCCACACAAAAAGCAGCTGAATCTCGCTGTCCCCCATCACCTCGCGTTGTGGACCACTGGCATCCCCTGGCTAGCAACAGAACAGCCAGAAAACGCGCATCCCGACTCGGGTCCGTATATGGCCTCTCTGCTTGAGACAGACCTTACACAATGTTAAGACAAATTGGCATCAAAAATCCAACTCTTTTGTCTCAAGGAGCCGCCACCTTGCTATGTGCAAGCTCTGGTGCCCCCTCGAGGCCAAGAATGGCACAGAACGTGGAGATGATCCTAGAGGAGGCAGAAGGCAGAGAGCTCACACAAAGCCCTTTGCTTAAGCTTTCAGAGGACAGACTCCTTGAAAGAGGGGGCGCAAGGGAGCAGCTGGGTGTGCGGGTGTAGGTTTTGCTGAGGTTGCAAGGCTGGAAGGTTAGTTATTGTTTCAGCTGTTGTTATTCTGCACGTGGTTTTTAATCACATTGTTAGTTCAGGAAGTAAAATACAGTTTTCCAAGTGTTTCTCTGAACACGCTGCTGAGTGGTATCTGTACAGGCTCTGTCCCCATGGCATGTGCATCTTAGATACTGAAAGGTACACACTGAGGTTCAGGATTCTCATACCAGTTGACTCCTGTGACCAAGTCACCCCGGGGAATCCAAGGCTAGCCCCACCAGGAGCCCAACTGCATACCAAGATATGCCAAGTGATTTCACAGTGAACACAAATTCCCAGAGCAGATAATTCCAGCTACAGTGGTCACTGGTGCTTATAGCTTTCCGGGAGAGACACTATGTCAGACAGGGAGCTATAGTTTTCATCTCTTAACTCAGGATCTGAGCTTTAGCCAACAACCCTCCCTCCACCCACCCCAACACACATACACCATAAAGTACCCATTACTCAAGGGCAACAGTGTCAAATGTAAAGGGTCACACTTAGGCAGCTGCCGGGGATCAGCTGCAGACAGGAGGTGGCTAGGGAATGAATTTACATCAGCTTCTGAGCCTCCAGCCTAGACAGCAATCTCCCAAAGCTCTTAGGGGGGGAAAAAAAGGTGTCAAATGGCCAAAGACCTTAGAGACAGTGGCATCAGAAATGGTCTCTGACACTAAACACTAAGGAGAACCCGAAAGATAAATCATTATCATTTAAGCCCTGCACATTTTTTAGACATACTGTCTTTGCAATGTTTCCATAGAATGAAGAAATAAATCACCCTGCTCTTGACATTTTTAATAACTTTAAGAATGTGGTTAGGGTAATACTTAACTTTATTGACATATTGTATGGTTCATCCATCTCATCAAACGTCAATGAAACTTCAATGAGTATTAACTGAGGGCCCATAATGTACTAGGCACTGCCTAGAAAATCCCCCCACCGTTCCCAAGTACCCTCCAGGAGCTCTCACCCTCTAGCTTGACTGCTTCTATGGAAATCAATAGCCCACAGAGTTATGCTTGATGGGTTTGGGAGCAGGGACTAGGCAGAATCTAGCTGGGGGATTTGCTTTGCTGACTTGGGGGAAAATCTCCTCTTGGACTCTGGCTATTTATGCGTGTTCTTGGGTTTAGGTGCCTTCTGTGAGCTGGAGACACAGACATAATAAATGGACTGAAGAAGAGAACAGAATGTCACTCAACAGTTGTGTTCAAAGAGAGTCCATGCAGCTTCTATGACTCACAGTGGGTGCTGGAACTGCCTGGTCCCCACTTTCACAGAACAGGAAACTGGCCCAGGTAGGTTCAACTCATCAAGCCGTATTGTTGTGATACAACAGAACAATTGAAAATTGACTGTCTTGATTCTCAAGCCAGCCTCCTTTTCATTGGCAAGTGGTAATGGTTGTATGTTTTATAAAGTTTTAAAGGAGTTAAAAGGGGAAGGACCAGTGAGGTGGCTCAGCAGGCAAGGATGCTTGCCACTAAGCCTGACGACCTGAGTTAGATCCAGAGAAACCAGGTGGATAAGGAGAGAACCAACTACTACAGCTGTCCTCTAACATCGATGGGCAAGTATATATGCACTAAGTAAATAAATGTACAAAGGTAGGAAGGAAGGAAGGAAGGAAGGAAGGAAGGAAGGAAGGAAGGAAGGAAGGAAGGAAGGAAGGAAGGGGTCAGACAATGTAAGGACTAACCATGATAACACCTGGCCCTTCTCAAACGTCACCTCTGGGATACTCTACAGCACCTTGCATTCTCAAAGACACAGTTTTTTTTTCCCCACTGAAAGAAAAGCTGTGTCTTTCAAAGAACATGGTGACCCCCAGGTCTCCGTTTAGACATTACTAGTCCTGGAAGCTATGGCTTGCCCTTTAACCTAGACAGATGCCTGGATGCATATTTGCAAGACCCTCAAACACCATATCCTCCCTCAAAGCTCCTGTCATACTCTATTGTAATTGTCTTTTGCTTGTCTGCCTTCCCCAGTCTTCTGTTGACATCTGAAGGGTAGGAACTATGTCTGCTCTGCTCCCCCAAGATTGTCTCTATAGATCCTAAAGTTAATAACTCCAAGAATGCAGTTAAGGTAACACTCAACTTTATTGATATTGTTTACTATTCATCCATCTCATCAAACCTCAATTAAATCTCAGTGACCATTAAACAAGGGTTCAGAATGTCCCAGGCAGTAGAGCCTGGCATAGAGTAGATGTGCAATAAATATTTTAGAATCCATAAATGAAGAGTAGGCCACAGAGTCTCATCAGAGAGAAGATGTCATTAGCCATTCCTGTCACAGAGTGATCCAATTTCTTCTTCCCCCTGAACACATCCTTGGCTGCTAATCTGAGCATTCTATAGTGAGACTTAGTTTGCCTGAGAAAACGTATTACAAACCATGTAAAGATGGAAGTACACACATTTAAATGTGGCCCTTGTTATTTATGGGCATAAGCCTTACACTCAAAGCACATATCTTCTGAAGAGCAAAAGCCAAAGTAACAAATGAATATTAGACAAAGAATTTCACAGCAAACGTTGCAGAAGTAGTTTGCTATCTCTGCTACATAAAGAATTCATATAAATTGATTTTTAAAACCAAGACCTCAAGAGATTAGTAGGCAGTGGACAAGAATAGAAATAGTCATATAAGGGGAATATTAACTAGCAAATAAAAAAAGTGTTGAAATACCCAGCCTTGCCAATAAAAACAAGTGTGTGATACAGGACCTGAGTCCAGGGATGAGAAAAGTCAGTTGTCCCTCCTTCCATCTCATAGCAGGACTTGCTATTGTTGTTGTGTTTCTATGTGCTAGGTGAGGCATTCTGTGAGTAGGAGCCTCCAGGTATTTAATAGAATGGGAGAAATGCAAAGAGCAAGATAGTAACCAGGCAAGGATGTGAATTCTGAGCTAGCAGTTAACCAAAAGGGCAGAGACTAGACCATAGCAGGAAGAGGTCACAGTGGCATTGAATGCCATGCACCAGAAAACTGTCCATTGGAAACATAAGGTTGTGAATGTAGGAGGAGTCAAGAGAGAAATATATGGCTGTTTGAGACATAACCCCTAGGGCTATATAGTCTGCTGCCTCTGTCAGCTTCGGTGTTTGGCTTCTTCTACAAGCAGCTGCCATAGAGGGTTTTATCTCTTTCACTCACTAGAAGGAAAATTAGACACATTAATGTTTCATGCAACTATGGCTCACAGGTGCTTGGCAAAATCATGGATGGTTCTGAGAAACAAAACAGTAACAAAAACATGAATGAGTGCATTGTGCTTTCAAAAGTTAAAACATAAAGATAACTCTTGGTTTGTCAAACTAGATATGATGTAAATATTAATATAATTACACCCTTTTTAGAAAATAGTATAGTGATATTTATCAAGCACAATGTATCAGTTAGTTATTGTGACAATATGCCGTGTAACAAATAACATCAAGAATCCCAGAAACAAAGATCCCCAGCCATCTAAGGTAGCATTGTTGTGATGGTCAAGGGAGAATGTTGAGTTCCTCAATCCATGTTTCATGCTGCCAATTCCCTGTCTGAGTTTTGCTAAGACTTCCTCTAAGAAGAGCCCACAAAGAGCTCTGCAGAACCACATGCTGTTCTGATCATAGTCAAACCACAAAGGGAAGACAAATAAACAAACAGCAAACTCCTTTTCCTAGATCAAAGGAAAATGTGTTGAGTCTGTCTCACTTCTTATGACTACATTAAAAGCTCATCTAAGTCAGGCATAATGGTGCATACCTATAATTCTAGAACTTGGAAAGCAGGAGGGCTCTAAGTTCCAGGCCAAGCTGGGCTGCATAGAGAGAACCTGTCTCAAAAGCCAATCTAAAGCAAAATAAACAGTAAGACATTGTATTCAAGATATTGCCTATCAAGACACAATAAGTTATCTAAATAATGATGCAGAGAGGTGGTGAGCAGTGAGGAGAACTTTCGTGATTGTCCCAGGTTGCTGCTTTGACAATATTTCTCCACTATGAAACCAGAAGGGAGATAACAAGAAGAACCCAGTGAACTTCTCAAGTTTAGACTACAGAGTTGAAAGCCTGGGGGAATGGGAGCTCTGTAAGACTGCAGTTTGCATGCCTGTGAGGGAGCAATCCCCAAAGAAGAAACAGTGGAGAATTAAGCAAACATTACTGGTATTCACATAGAGCTAGGGAGAGAGCCTATTCCCACCCACAAGATGGAAAAAACATTATGAGTCACAGGACAGGAGGTAGAACACCCCAAAAGCTTTCCTTAGTGGTGAGGAATAATTATGCCCAGACTAAACACAGCCTGGTGTACAAGTGAGACCCATAAGAACCAATGACTAAAATGCTTCTGAGTAACTTACATGTAGCCCAGAACAAAACTCAATAATATTTATACTAATACACAAATATTTAGTGCCCAATTAAGAATAACAAAATGATACAAAGTTCAATTCATCAGCAGGGCATAAACAAGCCTAAACACCTTTTTAGTTCCAAGCAAAAGTCAATGCCATAAAATAAAACGGAAAGAACTATTAGTAAAAAACAAAGGCAAAATTTTTGTTAGCAATTTTAATTGTATTCTCTCAATGATTGATGGAACAAGGAGATAGAAAATCATTAAGGAATGTAGAACTAAACAATATCAACCGATTTAACCTGATTGATACTGATAGAACACCCTCTATCCAAGACATCAGAAAACAGTTCTTTCAAGTGTTATTAAAATGAAGCATTTACCAAAATAAACTATGCTCTGTGCAAGAAAACCAGTCTTGGTAAATTTAAAAGAATTGAATTTGAACGAAGTACATCTTATGACTGGAGTGTAATTAAATTATAAATCAGCATCAGAAAGATTTTGAAAAAAAAACAATAAATACTTGAAAAGTAAATGATATATTTTCAAATAATCCATCAGCTGAAGAGAAATCAAAATGGTGACTAGAAAGTATAAAGTAAATAAAATTACAACATTTCCCACTTGCAGGATGCTGCCAATGTTGCACTCTGGGGGAGTTTGATAGCACTGAGTACCTCAACTCAGTGACCTCAGTTTCCAACACAATAATCTAAAAAGGACAAAGAAATAAAACCAGATCCAACCAGAAGGCAAAAAATAGGAGCAGATATCAGCAAAAATAAAAGTAAACAACAGAAAAAAATTAATAAAGACTAAAATCTAGTATTCTAAGCACATCTATAAATACATAGCCAGATTAACCAGCAAAAGTGAAGTTCAAGTTGGCATTACTCAGAATAAAATATTTAAAATTATGATAGGACAGATTCTGCCAGTTCTGATTCGACCAAGAGGTGAGTCATTGTTCTCCTAGCCAATCACACCGGCCTCAAGGTCTTAGGCCCAGGGGCACAACCTGTGCTACCATACCCCCACCCATTGCAGCACCAGTTTTAGGTCAGCCGGCAAGACTCCTGCATGCAGGCCTGACTACCACCACCCCCCCATCAGACCCTGTAACCTAGAAGTCCCACTCCATCTCCAAACTACTCATCCCCCAAGACTGAAGCTGCTCCCTGGGACACAGACTCTGACAGCTCTGATTGGATCAAGAGCTTCCTGAGATGCAGAGACTATTTGCACCAACTGGAGGAAGAGATGGGTAGATACCAGTGCAAGAGTACATTCAACAACATAAAGAGCAATATGACACTACCAGAATCTAGTGATTTTACTATAGCAAAACCTGAACATCCCAAACTAGAAGAAGCAGAAGAAAATGACCTTAAAATGACTTTATGAAGATAATAGAGGCCTTTAAAGAGGAAAGATAAAATTCTCTTAAAAAACTGAGGAAGAGACAAACAAAAAATTGGAAGAAATCAATAAATCCCTCAAAGAAAGTCAAGAAAACCAAGAAAAAGCAGTCAAACAGGTGAAAGGAAACAGTTCAAGACTTGAGAACTAAAATAGAGACAATAAAGAAGTCACAAACTGAGGGAATGCTGGAAAGAGAAAATCTGAGTAAATGAAGAGGAACTACAGATGCAAGCATAACCAACAGAATGCAAGAGATAGAAGAGAGAATCTCTGGCATTGAAGATATGAGAAAGGAAATAGAGTCATCACTCAAAGAAAACATTAAAGCCAACAAAGTCATAACACAAAATGTCCAGGAAATCTGGGACACCATGAAAAGACCAAACCTAAGAATAATAGGGATAGAAAAAGGAGAAGAACACCAGCTCAAAGGCACAGAGAATATATTCAACAAGATCATAGAAGAAAACTTTTCCAACCAAAAGAAGGAAATGCTTATGAAGATACAAGAAGCTTACAGAACACCAAATAGCCTGAACACCCCCCCCAAAAGACTCCTCACCACATAATAATCAAACCACTAAACATACAGAATAAAGAAAAAATATTAAGAGCTGCAAAGGTAAAAGGCCAAGTAACACATAAAAGCAGAACCATTAGAATAACACCTGACTTCTCAATGGAGACTCTGAAAGCCAGAAGGTCCTGGACAGATGTTATGCAGACACGAAGAGATCTCAGATGCCAGCCCAGACTTCTATACCCAGCAAAACTTTCAATCACCATATACAGAGTACACAAAATATTCAATGACAAAACAAGATTTCAACAATACCTATCCACAAATCCAGTCCTACAGAAAGCACTAGAAGGAAAAATCTAATTTAAGGAAGTTAGATGTAACCACAAAAACACAGGCAATACATAATCCCACACCAAGAAATCCCAAAGAAGGGAAACACAAAACACTACCACCAAAAAATAACAGGAATTAACAATCACTAATATCATTAATTAATATTAGTGATTGTTAATCATTAACATCCCTTAATATCAATGGACTCAATGCACCTATAAAAAGATACAGGCTAACAGAATGGATACGAAAACAAGATCCATCCTTCTGCTGCATACAAGAAACACACCTCAACTTCAAAGAGAGACACTACATCACAGTAAAGCATTGGGAAAAGATTTTCCAATCAAATGAACTTTAGAAGCAAGCTAGTGTAGCTATCCTAATATCTAACAAAATAGACTTCAAACTAAAATTAATCAAAAAAGATTGGGAAGGACACTACATATTCATCACAGGAAAAAATCTATCAAGATGAAGTCTCGATTCTGAACATTTATTCCCCAAATACAAGGGCACACACATATATAAGAGAAACATTACTAAAGCTTAAATCACATGTCAAACCTCACACACTGATAGTGGGAGAGTTTAACACCCCACTTTCACCAATGGACAGGTCTGCCAGACAGAAACTTAACAGAGAAATAAGGGAACTAACAGAGGTTATGACTCAAATGGACTTAATAGATATCTACAGAACATTCCACCCAAACACAAAAGAATATACCTCCTTCTCAGCACTCCATGGAACCTTCTCTAAAATTGACCACATACTTGATCAAAAATCAACAGATACAAAAAAACTGGAATAACCTCCTGTATTTTATCAGACCACTATGGCTTAAAGTTAGAATTCAACAGCAACACAAATTACAGAAAGCCTAGAAAATCATGGAAACTGAAAAATGCTCAATTGAATCACCACTAGGTCAAGGAAGAAATAAAGAAATTAAAGATTTCCTAGAATTCAATGAAAATGAATGTACAACATACCCAAACTAATAGGACACTATAAAAGCAATACTAAGAAGAAAGTTCATAGCTCTAAATGCCCACATAAAGAAGTTGGAGAAATCTCACACTAGTGATTTAACAGCACACCTGAAAGCTCTAAAACAAAAAGAAGCAAACTTACCCAGGAGAATTAATGCCAGGAAATAATCAAATTGAAGGCTGAAATCAATAAAATAAAATAAAACCCAAGAGAACAGTACAAAGAATCAAAGGAACAAAGAGTTGGTTCTTTGAGAAACTTAATGAGATAGACAAACCCTTATCCAAACTAAGCAAAAAACAGAGAGAGAGAGAGAGAGAGAGAGAGAGAGAATGTCCAAATTAACAAAATCAGAAGTGAAAAAGGAGACATAACAACAGACAATGAGGAAATGTAGAGAATCATCAGGTCATACTTCAAAAACCTATACTCCGCAAAATTGGAAAATCTAAAGGAAGTGGACAACTTTCTGGATAGGTACCATATACCAAAATTAAATCAAGACCAGATAAACAATTTAAATAGACCTAAAAATCCTATAGAAATAGAAGCAGTCATTAAAAGCCTCGCATCCAAAAAAAAAAGCCCAGGGCCAGATGGTTTTAGGGCAGAATTTTACCAGAATTTCAAAGAAGAGCTAATACCAATACTCCTCAAATTGTTCCACACAATAGAAACAGGAGGAACATTGCCAAACTCTTTCTATGAGGCTACAGTTACCCTGATACCCAAACCACACACAGATGCAACAAAGAAAGAGAATTACAGATCAATCTCCCTCATGAACATTGATGCAAAAATACTCTGGGAATCAACCTTCCTCAAGACCCAGCTATCCCACTCTTGGGCACATACCCAAGGAAGACTCAATCATACCACAAGGACACATGCTCAGCTATGTTCATGGCAGCATTATTTGTAATAGCCAGAACCTGG